CCAGATGGCATTGGCGGTGCCTTGGCTCGACCCCCCCGTTCGATCAATCAATCACATCAATTTAGCATTTCACTTTGGCCAACAGCGAATAACGAGAATGCGCTCGTCGACTGGCAGATACCCTTTATATATATCTTTATATTTGAAATTGTTTGTCCTGACTGACTGACTTATTGACTCACGGATTGGTGATCAACGCACAGCCCAAACCGTAAGAGTCAGAAAGCTGAAAATTTTACTGTAGTTACCTTATGTGATGTAGATGCACGTTAAGAAGGGGTTTGGGGAAATTCCAACCGTAAGTGTGGAAAAATCACGAAAAATGTTTTCAAGAAGCGTTTTTGTTTGCCATCCGATTGTGCTTGAACTCATTTTCAAAGATCTTAGAGAGAATTCATTTTATACGTGCCACGGACAAGGCCGGGGTATACTCGCAAATATCATATATAGACATACGTAAAAATTTCCCACTCCCATAACTTGGCCAAATCTTATCAGATTTATATAAGGTTTGGCTTTTTAGTGATGGTCTGCCCTCTAGACCAATTTGGCATCTAATTCTGGCAACATTATTCTTGGTCAAAATTCATGTAAAAATGGTAACGTCAAATATCCCATATAGATATAGGTCAAAATTGCCCACCCCCATAACTCGGTCAAATCTCATCCGATTTTTAGGAGGTTTGGCTTTTTGTTTTGCAAACACATGTCCACAGTTTTACAGCTATTACTTTAGACTTATATATATTAGCATATATTTATAAATACCTTAATATGTTGTTCATTTATAGAGGTGTATTCCCGTATTCTCCATTTCTTTCATTTCATTATTCTTAAAGGTAAATCCCTTCATTCCTTATTCCTTAAAAAACCGCTCCTTGAGTAGATTCCCTTTAATTATTATTACGTTCGTTTTCTATTAACAGGCAATAAGACTCAAAATGTTAATTGCAAAACACATTTTTATTAACACGCGCACAAAAGCTGGCTGCTATGTGCCGCGCATGGGTTGTGTCTTGGCTAACAAACTTAGACGCAGGAGCAGAGACAACAACTTAAGCTTAAGAATCACTCGCAAAAAAAAACACAAAAAAAAGTTATTTCTAATACTTTTAAAAAAGTAATCGAATCAAAACGAATCGAATCGAAGATTAATTTCGATAAATTCGGCAGATTTCAAATTGTTGATGTTTCCCTTTTGGGCTTAGAACCACCAGGGCGAAGGTTGTGGCTCGTTGTCCCGCACATCTATGTAGGTGGGATTGTTGTTGTCCTCCTCGGTGGATGGATAGGTGCCCGAACGTTGCTCCGCAGCAGCTGCAAACGGCGCCAGCTCGAACTCTGAGCGCCTGTCCAGCAATTTGCTGTTGGGTCGCCATTTCATACGTTTGCTATTCAATCGCTGGGAGATTGGCGCGTGGGCTGCTGATGGGGCGTGGCGTCTGTCCTGGCGCTGCAGTTCGGCTTCATTAATCGCCTGCAGGACGGCCGCCCACAGACGCATTATATCCCGATTATCCGGATCTGCAACAGCTGTAGGCAGGGAGCTGTTGTTTTTGTTTTTGTTTAAGTGGGTAGTCGTGTTGGGGGCGGAGCTGCCGCTGGTCATGGTGCAGGTGGTGCTGCTGCTGCCGTAGCCGATGATTATGGCGAAGCCCACAATAATCCACTCGAGTTGCATGCTGATAGCTGTTCGAAACTTCTGCGTTGCCTCTCGACGGCAACGCATGGCTTTTATATGCTAAGCTCTTGCTGCGTCCACGCTGTGTGGGAGCGGGGCTTGTTTAACAGTGGGAGGGCTGTGCGTGGTTGGGGGTGGAGGAGAGGGGGCGGGGGGAGGTGGATTCGATACAAACAGATAAATAAATAAATAAATACTCGCATTGCAATAGTTGGCCTATTGGGCCAATGTCTTGACATCATTCGATTCTTGTTTGAACTGCATGAGCACAGTGCGCAGCGTGGGAGGGGAGGGGGGAGGGGGGGTATTTCTCTTTGAAATTCTCCCCGCTGCGTCTCCCTCAATCTCTCTCTCCCTGTCTCGCCAGCTGCAACAAATGTTTATCGTTCTGCTTACGCTTCTTCTTGTGGTCTACATTTCAGACGCTTACGTGACTCGCATGCTTCGCACGCATCTGTTACGTAACGTAACCACCGTGTGCCAGATACGTTTTAGGCATTACGTCATTCAAAGGGCCTCTCACTGGCCTAAGGTCAAGATCGCTTTTGTTAAGCCGCTAGAATTTTCACGTCTCCTATTATATATAATTATAATTATTAAATATTCCATTTCCAGTCTCGAGATCTGGATAATTTTCTCGTAGTTACCCTAAATATACAGCAGTATAAAAAGTTTTGCAAGTCTGGCAACGTTTAGGTAAAGCCACGTTCCAAGTAAAGCCACATATTTAGTTCTTCATACCATGTGTGCTCAATGTGGCAACGCCGCAAAGTGGCACCCATCAGGCGGCAACGCTGGTCCAAAAACTTACGTACTTTTGCAAACTTTCCATTTCGCCAAGCTTTTACCTTAACTTAGCTTAAATATTTTACAAGCAAGCTTGCAGTATAAATAAAATGTGAACCCCTAAAAGTTGGCTATAAAAATATCGATAAATTTCGCACAATTTTCAGGCGCATCCAACTTAATTAGCTTATTATATTGAACCCATTGAAAATGAGTAAAAAGTGCAAATGTATGAAGGAATCAACTTCGAGCCCATAAAGTATATATTCTTGATCAGCATCAGTAGCCGAGTCAATCTAACCATGACCATTTGTCCGTCTGTCCGTATGTATGAGCGCAAAGGTCGTTTCCGACAATCGATAACTTGCCCCGTTTCCAAGCTATCGATAAAAATCTTTATCGAAATCCTATTTTTAAGCAAATCTTGTTCGTTTTAAGAGCTAGAGTCTTGAATAGTACATATGTAAATATATCAAGTATCTTTAATGAAATAGCTATCAACACACACACACACACACATTTATGCGCGTCTTTATTGAATTCTGTAAACATCATGGCAATTATGATTGTATTGTTTTCTTTACTGTGTTCCCATGAACTTGCCGAACGGGAGGGACATTTATTTTACATTTTTAAATTGAATTAAAAATTTGCATGCCAAAAATTAATTTCATTAAATCGCGCACTTGTCCCACTGTGCGCATAACAAACAATAATGGGAACTTAAGTCTAGGCAATTAATTTGCCGCCAGCTTCTGACGCTGCCTTTTAGCCCAATGGGTCAACAATTGACAGCTGAACGAGGGCTTATTTGGTCTGGCCACAAATCCTTCGCAGTGCCTCGCAGCCTCCTTTGACTGTGGCACGTGCTACACACAATAACGGTACATTTGCTCAAAGACTCAACTCGGGAAGAAGTCGCTCGAAAAAACGCTCAGAAGTCGCTTGAGAAGTCGCTCGAGAAGTCGCTCCATCGTCCCGACATTGCGCACAATCGCTCATTGGCCAAAACGAGCGCCGCATTTGAATACTCGACTCTGAATATGAGTCGTGAATCGAGTGAGTTACTCGTGAACGGCTCGTTTGTAGCTCGCGACTGAGTGCGGAAATAATGGGAAATTTGGCCATTGTCCGATTGTTTATGAATTGCTAATTTGCCGGCACTTTGGACCGGCTACGAATGGAGCCAACTTTTGGAGATGGTAATTGACGCAGTTCGCAGCTCGCAGCTTGCACCCAAAGGGCCAATGAATGCACTGGGCACATGTTGATTCCGTGTCAACTGGGACAAATTTTGCCAATTGGTGCTGCCAACTTGTGCATTGACCATGTTAAATGGTTCAGTGCTAAGCTTAAACAAGCGAATAACGCGACAACTCTGTTTCGCGTGGAAAGTAACATGCACGGGGCTGCCAACTTGTGCTTATGCAATTCCCTTTTCAATATGGTATTAAAAATTGGCGTTGCCAACCCTTTGTATTTCATTTATTTTAGCACTCATCTCGTATTAGACTGCCAACTTGTTTCATGAATAGGATTTATAGAGATCAAGTGATCCATTCATAGCACACTTAATTGTGCTGCCAACTTGTCTTTGGTCAGTCACAGTCACAGGGCTGCCAACTTATTTTTGGCTTGTCTGTTAAAATAGTTCCTATTTAATTTATACGCATCGAATGCGCACCTGGTCCGAGTACAGTGTAAAGTGTTCGGTCACAGTGGTGACAACTTGTCTTTTTATAGTCTTCCTTCCAGATTGTTTTTATTTAATAGTGCTGCCAACTTGTCTGCAATATGAAAGAAGAGCTTCTTATACAATAAATGCTTAAATGTTCTAAATATTCTTATTATCATATACAGACAAATTGGCAGCATTGCACCTGATGCTTCCAACTTTTCTTTATATATAATAGTGCTGCCAGCTCGTCTTATTAATAAACGCTAATCATTATTAAATATTACAATACTTACGCCTGGTGCTGCCAACTTGTCGTGAGCATGCCAACCCGATTGAAATATTTCATTTATAGTTTTTACTTATTTTTTGTTTTTTTTTATTTAAAAACATATAATTAAAAGTCGTTTGTTTATATTGTATCAAAAAAAAAATAAAGAAAAGAGTTTGAGGAAGAAAGAGAGAGGGAGGGATTTTATAATAAATCTTGCTATTCACGCACAATTCGTATCATAATATATCAAGTCATATCTTGAGCTCGAGCCCGAAAGTGGAATTATCATATCATTTTTATACTCAGCTTAAGGTTCTACGGAAGGCTTCGCTTTTGCTCACAAATTGATTTTCTTCTCTTTTCGATTTATTCGCATTTTCTTCTTCGTTTTTTCTTCTTCTTGGTCTTTTTGTTTTGGTGACTTCTTTTTGTTTTGTTCGCAAGGGAGACTTAAATATTATTTCAATATTTTATTTTAATTATTGTATGTGTAAAAAGCTAATCGCGTTTTAAGAACAGACAAAAAGAGGGGGGCTTATGAGAAATTAAGAAAAAAAAAAACCCAAAATTTACAAGGAGGAGCAAATTGTAAAAATTATTATCGCTGGGTTGGACGGGCGGAGCCATCCAATTAGGAGAATAGCAGCAAATAGAGGCAGAGAGAAATGAAGAGCGAGAGAGATAGAGAGAGAGTGAGAGAGAGTGAGAGAGAGGGGGAGAGATGGCAGGAGCAGTTGGCGGGGCAAGTAGTGGGATGTTGGAAGAAGTTTTGGCATGGGAATGGACACTTGTCTGAGGGTCTGAGGATTTGGGGCAACTGCAACATCCGCTGGAGCATTCACATCCGCCTTAGTTTCAGCTGCTACCGGGAAAGGGGACTGGGACTGGGCCGGGAACGGGGACGGGGACAGGGACAGGGAATAGTTGCTGCTGTTGTCATTTAAAGGCTTGTCCCGGCTTACAGTATGGTGCCCGGCTTTCGCAGCGGCAGACGCCGACGCTGGCCGAGCAGGCCAAGACCGCGCGCCTGTTGCTTGGTGGTGGCTTCAGCGGCTTCGGTTGTCTCCTGCTCCTTGGCCTCGGCCTCGTCGGAGCTGCCGCCCGCGGCGGGCGCGGCCTCCTCCTTGGCTGCCTGCTCGCCGGACGCATCCGATGCTGCGCCACCCTCAGCGGGCGTCTCTGTAAGATACGAAATTGAGTTCGAGCTGAGGCCAACAGATGCTGGAGCATCTCTGAGAGTACCTGTCGTCGAGGTAGCCGCTGCGGCCGCTGCGCCGCCCAGTTGCAGACGACGCTTGGCTAGCAGCGGGTTGATTTTGCGCGGCGCCACCGCTGGCGAGGATGCGGGAGCAGCTGCTGAGCCGGCGCCAGCGGCTGCCTTGGGCTTGGCCGCGTCAGTCTTGTGCAGCGCATTGAGGCGCGGTCGGTTCTTGAGGCGATTGAGGCCGGACACGGGTCCGGCATGGTTGGCAGCGCTGCCGGCAGCGGCATCGCCCTCCTCAGTCTTCTCAGCGGCCTCGCCGCCCTCCGCCTCCGTGCCCTTCACATCGTTGTGATGGCTGCTGTCGGCCGCCGAGTCCTCGGCTGCCTCCTTGGGTGCCTCCGTGCTCACCCCGGCGCGTCCCAGCTTGCCGCGTGGCAGCAGCCGATTGCCGCCGGCGCGATGCAAATTGAAGCGCGACGGACGCACTGGCTCCGGTGCCGCAGCTGCCGCTGGCTTGCCCTCGTCCGCGCTGTTGCTGCCCTCCTCGGCGGCTGCGCCCTCCGCAGCTGGCGCCTTGGTAGTGGTGGTGCGACTGCGTCCACGCAGATTCAGGCCGGGGCGACCGCGCAGCGTGCTGCGTGCCGTTGTGCTGGGCGCAGCATCGGCTGAGCTGGCTCCATCAGCGCCCTCCTCGCCTGCAGCGGACTTCTCGGTGGTGGTGGTGGTGCTCGTGCCGCGCAGATTGAAGCGGTTGCGTGCTGTAAATGGATGCGAGATTTGGTTACATTTGGCCACTTTTCACGTTCAACCCGTTGGGACTTACGTCTGCCGCGTCCGAAGCCAGAGCTGACGGGTTTCACCTCCTTGGCGGGCACAATCTCCTCCTCGGCAGCGGGCTCTGCCGCGGGTTCGGGGCTCGCGGTGGTGCGAGCGCCCGGACGAGAACGGCCGCCAATCGAGGGACGTGAGAAGCGATCTGAGGCAAAGGAATAATAAATAAATCGACTTAGTAAAAATCGAACAATACAAATGGAACTATTTAGACTGGGGATCATCCAGTTAAAGCCAGTTATGAACTAGTTCGGCGCACTAATGAACCAGTCCAAGCTGCCTGTGATCCAGTCTGTGCTCAGTAGAGTGCATTCGATAAAGTTCGCTGAACCATTTGAAGTCTCACGCTTCGGTTCAACCAATTGAACCAGTTCCGTATACTCCGGAGCTACTTACAGCTACTTTTGAATCAGTCAGCTGTTAGTCAGGTGCTGCCAGATGAGCTTAAACTACTGTAGCTCATCTCTGCTATCACCTCTCCTACAGCTGAACCCTTTTCCGATCACTAATGAACCAGTGGAAACTACTAAACTATGCTCAACTACTAAAGACTTAACGTCAATAGACAAGCTGTGATCATTAAGCAGCTAGACTCAAATACAAAATGAACCTCCGTTTCCATTCTGACAACTTCAACTTATTCACTAACTAGTTCCGATCTGGTCCAAGACCCAAATAAACGATGATCAATATGATCCATTTAATTCTGAGTCTAATAGTTCACAATCCGTTGCGAACCAGTTGCAGCTACTGATCTATTTCAAAACTCCCCGTTTCAGTTATAAAATACTACTAGCTACAGATCTAGACTCCCCGTATAAGTTCTAACTCTTACAAGTTCCGAATTCCTCGCGAAACAGTTGCAGCTACAGATCTAGTTTAAAACTCGCCGTTTCAGTTCTGACTCATACTAGTTCACAACGCTTTGCGAACCAGTTGCAGCTACTGACTCTAGCTAGTTCCGAATTACTAACAAGCGAATTGCAGCTACTGATCTTGTAGTCTCCCCGTTTCAATCCTAGCTTTTACTAGTTCCGAATTCCTCGCGAACCAGTTGCAGCTATTGATTTAACTTGAACTAAAGAAAGCTGTCCAATTGATGCACTCACTTCTGCCGGTTTTGGTGGGCTCCGTGGGCGCCGATTCGGTGGTGGTGGTGGTGCTGGTGGAGCCGCTGTCGCGCAGCTTGAAGCGATTGCGTCCGGCCAGGCCGCTGAGACCCGAGCGCCTGCCGCCGTACAGGGAAGGAGCCGCCGTGGTTGTCGTTGTGGTTGTCGTGGTGGGCGCCTCTGTGGTGGTTGTAGTGGTTGTTGTCGTGGTTGTGGTAGTAGTTGTCGTCGAGGAGAGCTCCTCCTGCAGCGTGGTCAGACCGGCATCGTCCACATCTGTGCTGGCCGTGTCGGGATTGACCGTGGTCTCATCGTTGGCATCCGCTGCGGTCGTCTCATCGTTGTTGAGGTTCTCGTTGGTCAGTATGGCATAGAGATCGAGTGCGGCCTTCTCCATGGACGGCGTTGTCTGCTCGGCATCATCGTCCAGCTTGGCTGTGATCTCGCGCTGCTCCTGCTCCTCCTCGCGCTCCTTGGCTGCGGCAGCGGCGGCGGCGGCGGCTGCTGCCTCCTCATGTTCGACGTCAATGACAGGCTTCAGCTCCTTGTCGCCGTTGCGTGAGCCCTTGAGCTGCTTCTCGTCCGTGTTGAAGGTCGAGCTGTCGACCAGCTCCAGGCTGGGACGCTTTACGCTTATCTTCTTGCGCTCCGCGGCCGTTTCCAGCGAATCCAGCGCCGGCGTCGGCTGCACCTCAATGTTCTTGCCACGGCTGGGGAAGCGCGTATTCAGGGGCAGGCGCTCCGCCTCGATGTCATCGGAGGTCTCGCTGGCCGCGCTCGAGGCGCGTCCCTTTGCCTTGCCGCTCTGCAGACTATTCTCGCTGGGCGTGGCCGGGGTGCTGCGATCGATATTGGAGTAGCGCGTCTTGCCGCGCGTCTCGGGCGTTAGATCGGCGGGCGCCTCAACGGCAGCGGGTGCATCGATGGCGGGCTTGGCCTTGCTGTCGGCATCCTCGTCCTCCTCGTAGTAGTAGACATACTCGTACTCATAGTCCTGGCCATTGGGTCCCTTTTTGATCTCGATGCGCGACTTCTTGTTGTTCTCGCTACCGGCGCCATCCAGTGCAAAGTTCTGATTGACAAAGTCTTCGTGAGGATCAACCAGCATATCATCGTCCAGATTGTCAATCTTCTTGGACGCCGTCGGCTGTGTGGTTAGCTGCAGCGCTGGCTGCTCTGTGACGCCCTTCAGCGCCAGCTCGGCGAGGGAAGCCTCCTCGATTTCGCGACGCACCTCAGCCAGCTCCTCCTCCTCGATGGCACGCTTGGCCTCGATGCTCTTCATCACATCCTCGTTGATGAGCGCACTGAGCACTGGGTTCAGTTCGGGCCGCTCCTTGGTGGACAGCAGATTCATGGAATATTCAGCCGGGTCTGTGGCACGAATGCTAATCCTGTGCGCCGTGTGGAAACCTTCATCACCTAACACGTTCGCCTCCGGCACCTTGTGCGATGTCTCGAACTCGCTCGTCGCCGGCACATTGACGTCCTGCTTCTCTGACGCTCCCACAGCCAGCTCCTCGCCGGCCACCAGTAAGGCCAGGCAGCCCAATAGACAACTGCAAAAGAACGAATTGAATATCAGTAAATCATGCTGATAAGCCAACTACCAACTATTCCTAATCTAGAAACTCCCAGGCACTCCCGCTTAAAGCAAATAAGTTGAAAGATCTAAGCCCAATTAAGGCTTACTTTAGACTGTAGAGTATTTAGACTCTAGAGCGAGAGATAAAAAAACGAATAACTCAAGGAAAATAAAAGTTGGTTTTCAAGCGACATTGAAACCTTTCCTAACTATCCTTGAGAGGGTAGGTAGAACCGGGTACTCCAAGCACATTAAGTTTCTACTTAGCTTAAGCATTATTGTGAGAGACATTTCAATGCTTTGTTTCTAATGATTTTTGATAGAAGTTACACGATAGTTCAACTCTAGACTAGTATAGTCTAAATAGAAAGCAATTTGTAAGGAATTGTTATGCCTGAATGTTTACTCGATGGATCAACCTTATAAGTGAACACTTCCATTTCAAGAATTATTTGCATAGATCAAGCTCTCTGAATTAGGTGCTCTCAATGTTATGCCTTAGATTATGATCACATTCTAATGGCGAAAAGTAGACACGGGCAGTCTAGCTAATGGATACGGAGCTGGAGCAAAGGCCTGGAAGACCTAATCGAATATTATTCCTAACAGTTTCCCCTTCTAATGTCTGCTCTTTTTATGGTATCAGCCAAGCAACCTTTGGCAAAGTAGAACACTGAAACTCTTAGGATTGCCTTTTGAATGAATCATTGCAGAAGGTGCATTATCCTGATGGGCAACAACTGGAGGAGCAAAAGTGATCTCATGCGACCCTCCGTTCACTTCAATAAGGATGCTTGTTTCCACTTATTTCCCCCTTGAAAAAACACACCTTCAGATGAAAACGAGCGACTTTTTGCGTTCGATAATTAGCTGAATAAACTTGAAATCCGTGCGTGATATTAATTTGCTTAAGCTTTTAAAAAGGGGCAAGCCCTTGAACTAATTTGCCATTAAGAAACCCCACGACTTATCTTAATTAAGATTAAAGCTGTAATCGAAATCGATCAAAATTGACTCATTTGATCAAAGACAAGAGCCACAATGAAGGAAAATGAAAAATGAAAAGAAAACAAAAAGCCAAAACCGTTTGGTGTGGCTTTCAGCTGAGAAGTGTTGATTGATTTGGCTTAGCCCAAGATCATCGCGTGCTTTTAATGACTGATCATGTTTTGGGGCGAGTCTTTGTGCTGCATCATTTGAAGTTGTTTGTTTTTTTTGTTTTGTTTTGTTTTGTTTGTGTGTCTCGAAATACCTTTCACAATTTCATTAGCCAGGCCGTCTACCGTCTACCGTCTACCATTTAACAGCCAGCAGCCAAGAGCTGATCGCGATCTTCGTCTGGCATTGCGCATGCGATCGTTGTGGCTCGCAGTGGTTCGTGCAATTGCAGCAATAGTTCATTGGGCTTTGCGAATCCGCATTGCGATGCATTCAACACTTGAATAGATGGTAAATAGATGGACGGACCGGCCAGTGAGAGGCGAAAGCGAGACAGAGCATGCCTCAAGGCAAACCACAATATTGACCAGAGGGTCAACTAACAGAGGGGGGCATCATGTGTGTGTGTGTGTGTGTGTGTGTGTGTGTGTATAGATTATTTGAACTGCAACCGGTTCATGCAAAAGGTGTTAGCCCATTTCGATTTCAATTTCAATTTCGAGTTCGATTTCGTTCGGCCATTTCAACAGAGGCTCAGCTTCAGCTTCAGCCAAAGCCCAGCCCGTTTAAGAAGATGAAGAAAAAAAAAAGCCACCAGGCGAGCCGCAAGACTCCAGAGCCGGCAACAGCTCGACACGACGACTGTTCGATATTTAAAGAGCAGCAGCGGGTCGGGTCGCCTCTCCATGGAAACCTCTGTCTCCTTCGACTACCCCTCCCCTCTGCAGCTGGTTTCGCTCTTCACATGTTTTGCGCTCTTGACGATAACTTTTAACATTTTGAATTATGTGCAGTTGGCGTCGCGTTGTTTGAAGCCGTTCGCTTAAATTTAGCTGTGTTTTTTTTTCTTTATAATCTTTTTTTTTCTTACTTAGTTTTTGTGTTTCACTCGAACAAGTTTCGACAATAACAGCAGCAACAGCTCGTCGTAAAGGTAGACAACTTCAACTTATTTTAATTGCAACAGCAGCAACAATTGCAACCAGAGGCAGCCCAAATAGCCCAACCAACAACAACAACAACAACAGCAACAATGTGGAGCCCAAGAAAAGTTATAATTATGTCTACACACACATCACACTCTAAATTGCTAGCAGAGCGGAGGGAGGAGGGGTGGTGAGAGGCGGGAAGGGGTTGCAAAGCTACTTCTGCTTTAGTCGATTGTTTTTTAAGGGTAAGCTTAGGCAAGGGGGCTGCGAAGGCAACTGTCCAACTTCTTGGCCATGTTATGCATGAGGTGACAATGCGCACATCGCCTCTCGACACCAACTGGCAGACAGACGGACGGGTGGACGGACAGACGGACGGACGGGCAGAGAATAAAAGCAACAACAACTGCGCCAAGATTCACATAATACCACAGCGAAATGTGCAATATTGGCTATGGCACAGTGGTACAAGGTATGCCCAACATGAGCGCAAAAAAGGGCAACCTAATTTTACGATACAAACAAAGACAGCAATTGGAACGTAATGTTTGTAGCTCATTTGAGGGTTCAATTTCAATATATCTATATATGTACTACGAGTTATAATATGGGCAAAGGAACATATAAAAAATTTATCAATACGCGAGGTTTAAGAGGCAGCTTTCTGTTGACAACCCTAAGTCTTATTTAAAGTAAGAAACAATAAAAGAAAATAAAAGTTATCGATAACAGTTATCGATAGGCAAAATTTAGCTAGAGGTAGAGTTTTTGGCCAGGCCCAGCACAGTTTAATTCCTTTGCCAGGGAATTATCGCACAAGAAATTTTAGTTTAAATGGGATATACCCAATATTTGAGTGAATTTATGCAATGGCGAAAGAATTTTTAGCCAACTGTTAGCATGATACAAAAAGACAGAGATGGGGTAGTTAACAAGACAATAAAAATATCAATTTGAAGATACTTCAAAATAAAAATCGATAACAATCGAGAATCAAACTATTTATAGAAACGGATAAGAGAAGCTACGCATAGATATATCCTGCCCCTAATGACTTGGACTGCATATTTTATCATAGTTTGAAGTATTCTTTAAAGAAATCCGGCTCCATTTAGTAGAGGCTTTCTAATGTCGTTTGCGATCTAATTTTATTGTCATATATTTATTAATAAATCTTAGAAGTTACGCATTTTTATCTTTGCCCGCACGATAACCCAAACTGATCGATAATTATTCGTGTTATATTATCGACAAAGCAAGAAAGTTGCCAGACGTTTGTCAGAAGTTCTCGCCCTCTGGCTGTTCTGTTACATGGCTTTACACAGCTTTCAAATCGATTCAAGGCTGGCCACGCCCACATCTATGATTTATCTAATGTTCAGTTGGCTGAGTCATAGATAATTACATTTGATCCACTTAACTTTCACTTCCTCTTTGGGTCGCACCTGAACATTCTATTTGTATTTGTATATGTATTTGTAATCGGTGATTTTCAAGGGATCGACGCAATTTCAGGCCGTGTTCTATTGGCCTTGTCCCACTGTCTGACAATGTCAGAGAGCACTTAACAACTGATGTGAATGTGAATGACTGATTAACTGCCTCCGACTCTGCGTGTGTGTGTGTCAAGTAACGGGGCACTGAGTACTAATGTGAGTGTATTACGGGTACTCGTCGCATGTTACATTGGGCCAGGCGAATGTGCAATTGACTAACTGAATGGCTGAGTGAATGGACGGGTGAGTGCATGAGTGTGTGAATGACTAAAATGGCCAAAGTCTTAGCTCTTTTTCTTCTTTTTTTTTTCTCCTTTATGTAGGCCCTGCTCCATTGTTGTCTTCCTCTGAAGACATTTGGAAAGGCCAATTGCCAATTGCAGCTTTAGATGCGGGGAGCGGAGGAGGAGGAGAGTGGCATGGGAGAGGAGTGGAGAGGGGAGGGGAGCACGTTTAAGCGGGTGTGGCATGCAATTTGTATTTTACATTTGGCAATTCCGTTTTGGCTTTTTGTTTGTTAGCCGAAAAGTGGCTGCGCATGCGTTTTGACTGCTTTTTGTTTTTTTTTTTTTTTTTGGCCATTTGATGCGGCGGCTGCGTTGGCGGCGTCTGCGAGTGTGTGTGCGTGTGTGTGTGTGTGTTTGTATCTGTTTAAGACGCCACTTGGAGGCCATTGACGTCGCGACAAGCGTTGAGAGCGCAGTGAAGCATACAACAGCAACAACAACAACAACAACAACCATGAAATGTAAAATAAGTTGTATTTTTTTTGTTGGTTTCTTCTTCTGTTGCATTGTTGGTTGCGTCTTTTGAGCCAAAGGTTTTTGACTTCTGCTTTTGGCCATGTTTTTACCTTTAAAGCTGACCTTTTGTCACACCTTGCAGCAGCGAGTGGGTGCGAGCGAGACGGCAGCAAAGGCCAAAATTCTCTCTGTGTGTGTGTGTGTGTGTGTGTGTGTGTCTCGTTCGCCAATTAGCTGGCTTTTTGGCCTTTTGGCATAAAGCTGCAAACGCTCGCAACTGTCATCAGAGCTCCTCCTACTCCACTGCAGTCATATTAAATTGATTGACTGACTGAGTGACTGACTAACTGCTTGACTGATTGACTGACTGCCTGCCTGTCCGCTTAGCCGTTTAATGGCCAGCATCATCAATGCGAAACAGCCAAGCTGGCTGTGTGCAAGGCCAACAATCTGCATGCCAAATTCATGAGCTGTTTTCACTGTGCCACGCCCCCATCCAGCAGCCCTCTCTCAACACACACACACCGCAGCATCTTCTCTCATTTTTATGCTCTGCTTACATTGTAAGCACACATAACAGCAGGGCGAGAGGCGGCAACCACCATAAGCCGGAGGAATTAGCTAAAGCTAAAAACATTGTTGTGCACAGTTCAGCTGTCTGTGTCTGTGTGTGTGTGTGTGTGTGTAGGTGTGTGTAGGTGTGTAGGTGTGTGTTGAGGTTAACAACCACTGACCACTAACTGTAGAAGGCAGCCCCTGCAGCTAATGTCAGAGGTGAAAGGCAGCTAACTATAAACTTGGGCACACGCTGCGTATACGCAATGCGCTCGAAAGGATGTGTGAAAGGCCGCGTGAACGGGCTGTGTGGGTGGGGAGCGGGGAGCGGGGGCTGAACTCAGCTATCACTTGAAGAGATGAAATGCCAAAAGCTATTTAAGCCAAAATTCGGTGAATAAATGCCAGAAACTCAGAGCTCAATTTTAAATCGGTTTCTGGCTGGCATTTGAATATTATTTGACTTACAGTTGAAAATCTCGAGATTCAAGAATTATTAACATATAAAGTAAAATGCTTTAAGCACATATTATTTGAGTTTTCTTTGCTAAGGTCGTTTGCAATCTTTGAAGAAATATATACAAAAAAATAAATATTAATTTTAAATGAATATATTAATAAACATTTGATTATTTTAACGAATTCGAATATGTGTGAAATATGACAGACAAACAAGTTGATAGCCTTGCTGGGAACCTTTATAATTTAATTACGAAATGTGTTAAGCTTCAAAAGTTGCAGCCACATCAACAACATATTCAAAAATTTTACATTCTCAGCTCGGGGCCCAACTGAACTAAGCGCCACGTGAACCTGTGCTCAGCAAATTGGGCACAGCCGCTTCTTCTGGCTGCTAGCGATATGTTCCAAGTAAATCCGGCTACCATACATCAATACATCAATATATGTATTCATCAATATATCAATATATGAATACATCTAAATATATATATACAACAATATATCAAATAGCA